TATAGACGGTGTCGTACATGCCTTCATTGCAGCATCACAGAGTTTAGACGTGGGCGATGTTCCGCCGACGTCCTAAAACTTCTTCCTTCCAAAACATATACAGACATATATACTTATTTACACACGTACACACATACAGGTTACGGCGGGTGGCTTGGTACTTGAACGTGTGGGGTATGTTACTGCTACTGCTGTGTGTATTGCCGTACTACCACAGCTACCGCCTGCTGGCTAGCGCGGGTGAGTTGGTGGGTGGGGGCGGAGAGGGGGCTGGGGGTGGGTGGTGAGGTGGGGTGGGGGAAAGCGCGGGGAAGGGAGGGGGCATGATGTATGTGTGTGTATGTACGGCGGGAATGTTGAATGGACAGCTCGTCAATCGAGGTCCAGTGTCCCAAGTGGGTCCGAAAGTCCTGAGTGATGACGTCATGACCCCCCGTACTTCCGGAAGTAAAGCCCCGTTACTACGTTACCGACATTTTTTCCTCCAGGGAAGGGGGAGGCGTTTCCCCAATCTGAAGTCCCTACCTACCTATCTACCTATCTATCTATCTATCTATCTATCTAATTCTATCTTCCTATCTATCTTATTATATCTATCTATCTATTTATCTAGTTACCTACCTAAAGATCCCCTCAATTCTCATTACTTCCCATTTTCCCCCCCCCCCTTCCGTCCCCGACGCGACCCCCCATCCATACACACACACACACACACAGGTTCGCTCCGCCGCGGTCAGGTGGCGGTTGGTGCGGCTCTCTTCTGGGCCGTATTTATGTACGGCTTCTGGCGGTTGGGCACCTACCTCCCAGGAGTCCCCCCCGCCACGGAGGGCGTGTTCCGGATGAAGCAGGCGATTAGCCGGGTTGGCGTTATGGGCACGTGGATGATTGCCGTACTGTCCGGCTACGCCGCCGTCAGCTTTCCGTACTCGTACTTGTCGTTGTTCGTACGGCCTGTGGAGGCGTTTGAGATCGTGGCGATGGAGGAGCAAAGCCGACAGGTCGGGCCTTGGGGGGCCTGGATTGGGTGTATGTATGTATGTGTGGGACAGGGGGGTGTATCTTCGCCCGTGGCAGCTACCCTGCGAAACCCTGCCTTCCCCAGTATTTCGGGGCACCCTCATCCAGTCACCCTAGCCAACTTCTCAGTGGATCGCTCAGGTTCCGCACCCACCACCAGCATCTGCCAACGGAACCAACGTATGTACGTATGTATGTATGTGCATGGGGGAAGGCTCTTCCCGGAAGAGGGTAGGAGGTTGATGCTCCCGGGGGGGGGAGTGGGCCCAGTGACGGAAACCGAAAACTGAACGGGGGCCTCGTCCACTGATTTCATGGGCTCCTTTGAATTCTTCCGCATCACATACCCCCAACCAACTAACCAACCAACCAACCAACTTCTTCCACTCCTCCTCCACCCTTGTTTTCTAATCACCCTCCCACTCCGACCTTTGAAGGAGCGGTCCTCCTCTAGGAACTCCGAACCCGAATTCCATGTCTCCCTCCCCGGGGCCTCTGCCCCTTTTACACTTTTTCCTTGACAGCAGCTTCACTCGTTCGTGGTTCGTCTTTCCCCCTTTTCCCCTCCCCCCGCTCCCGCTCC